CCCCAAAACCCCAAAACCCCAAAACCCCAAAACCCCAAAACCTAGTAACTCAATTATAATTCTTCGCAAAAACGTAATAAATGGAGATTTACAGGTGTTTTAAAAGGTAAGCCTTCTCTCAAAGAATGTTGGCTGAAGCTATTGATTATAGAATGGAATGCCAGACTCCTACTTGTGCCAATAAAGCTGAGTATTACTGCAAAGGAGACAAAGCTCTACAGTGTGAAAATTGCAAGCTAAGCCACGATTTCGCATGAAAAATGATCTCTCTCAAAGAATTTGATCAGGTATTGATCGCAATTGATGAGACCAAAGCCTGGCTGACAATTCTCAGGAAGGTCAAACAGCTTGGATGTATCTCTTCTCGTCAAAAGCGAATTGATGAAGAAATCAAGAGCTTTGAAACCCTTCTCGAAGGTCTTGAAGATGATTATGATGCAGCTCAGCAAGCATCAAATTATTCTAAAACTAACAATTTTAGAATGAGAATTTCAGAGTAAAACTTCTCCGAGATTGTTTAACTTCTCATAGGATAAAATAATGATATCAGAGGGAATGAGTTAATCTCCAATATGGTCTTTGATTTCTTCATGAAGGACATGCTTGAGGTTATAAAAATCCCAGGCATAACAACAAGTGGAGGTGACATACTGAAAGGACTACCAGTTCCATCCAAGATGAATGCATTGATCAAGAGAGCTTCTGAAGCAGAAACTGATATCAAACATTCTAAACTTGCAAAAGAAAATTTGGATCTTGTCACAGAAAAAGAAGAGATGCTGAGAACAATACAACTCATGAAAATGAAAATAGACACGCTTGAGAACCGCAACCAAACACTCGAGAAGAAATATAATATGGTAGGTTGTCCCTTGCTTGCTAGAGAAAACTTTTCTTGGTGTTAATGTCCCTCAGAATAGCCTCATTGAAAGTTATTCAGAGGAGTCATTTTGAGAGTGGAAATTATTCAGATTTCCTTCTCCATCATAATCAACATATTTGTAAATTTTCGAGAATTGGCTTCTAAATTTTATGTCAAAATTTTAGCGAAAAGTTTTGATTTGCTACTATTTTGATCTTAACTCTACCCCACCTTCAATACAATAATCAAAACCCCCCAAAACCCAACACCTTACCTCCACCCATCACCCTCCCTTCTATCCTATCCTATCTTTCCTTCTATCCTACCTCTCCTTCTAGCCCAGCTCCACCCGTAACAGCACCCACACCACGACCACCTTCCATTCCTCCCACAGAGACACTATCACCTTCGACCAAAGTCCCTATGCCCAGACCATGCTCGAAGAAGGTAAGTACTAACTTGGATGCAGCCAAGCTTGGCTGAGTGAGATAAGTGGGGCTGAAGAGGGTGACTGGGCTCTTTGGGAGTAGGGGTTTTGGGGGGTTAGGTGGGGGATGGGTAGGGATGGTGGTTAAGGGGGATTTTAGGTGGGAGTTTTGGGTGATTTTGGAATAGAAGAGTCAAAGAGGGATTATGAGGAAGAGAAGGATATAGAGGAGGAGCAGGATGAAGAGGAGGATGTGGAAGAATATGAGGAAGTTGATCCTTCTATTTATGATAGAAGGAATGGTAGTCTTGTTATTGATTGTAATAACAAAGATTGTAAGCATTTCATGGAGAAAATGATTAGCAACGACTTGAAGATGAACAACTTGAAGAATTTTAAGATAGACAATATTGAGAATGACAGCAAAACTCTGAAAAAATTCATTAAGAAATGCTCTCCGGAAATCATTAAAATGCTTATATTTAATTATGATGAAGATCTATCTGATGAGAAACCGGAAGATCGGGAGTTAATAAATACTCATTATTATCTGAATTCTTTTAAAACACTGCTCCCATTAGCTACAAAAATGATACTTCTAAATCGTCTGATTATAGGAGACAAGGAACTGAGAGGAATTATGCAAGAAAGTTCTTCTTGAAAGACACTTACTTTCTTTTTTTGCTCGATGAATATCACAGATTCCCTCTATTTTATGGAAATGGAAGATTTTAAGACCTCCACCATAAATTTCCAGGGTTGCACGTCTGAGGATGGGTCTGTAAACTTCTCATACATATTTGCTGCTATAAAGGCGACAAGTCTAAAGGATTCTTTGAAGAGAATGAATCTAAATTACTGTGGTGTTGAAGAGAGCACTATCATGGATGAAATCAAAGATCATGGACTAGAAGATATCTCCCTCAAAATAACATCCTAGCTCTTGGCTCCTCCAGTCGCCTAGAAAGCTCCCATATATCTTCCTAAAAGCCATTTCAATTTTCTCTGATTAAAACGGGGTTTTGGGGTTTTGGGGTTTTGGGGTTTTGGGG